GCCTGCGTCGCTGTTACTCAGGCAACCCTGTTTGGGCAGAGTTGTCCTGCCCCCTGTGGGGGAGGGGGAGGATGGGCTCAGTGAAAACTGGTTTTGGGGGGCTTTCGTTCTCTGGGGGCTTTCCAAGTCTCTTCCTAGACTCAGAGCAGAAGAGACTGTTTCCATCCCTCTGCCTCAGAACAGAGATCGACAGATTGCAGTCTGTGTTTCAGTGAGCTCTCCAGGCCACACTATCTCCGTTTCTGTCTGTGCTGCTAGAAACTGCAGTGTCCTGGGTTGTGCGCCCCTTAGCAGCGCTCTCAGCTGTTGCTTCCAGGTCCAGGCACATTTTTGCCCTTTGTGCTTCTAAAACCGCCAGCTGCCCTCAGTTCACATGCGCGATCCTGCAGCTCCAGGGTTCAGTCTGGGGGGCTGCCCTAAAGTCCTTTCCCCACTGCTACCAGTCTGCGAGTCTGTGCCCTGTCCCCAGTGCGGGAAGCAGGATCCCAAAGTCTCCCTCCCCCCTTTCGTTTATCTTCCGATATCTGCCCATGGAATCACAGCTCCCCGCTTCATACCTCGAAACCAACCGCCTACAATGTTCTGTTTGTAGAGATCCAGATATATCTTCTTAAATCTCAGGCTGATTTCGTGGGTGTTCAGAGTGGTCTGGTAGATATCCAGCTCAATTCAGGGGACCAGTTGGAATAGGGTCCCCTACTCCTCCATCATCTTTTCCTCCTCTGCAAGTATATCAAACTTAACATGTCCAAAACAGAAGCCTGATTTCTGCTGCCTGATTTTTCTCACCTGGGTAAGTGATAACTATCCTTAGAATTGATCAGGGCAAATCCTTGGAGTTTATCTTGACTCCTCACTTTCTTTTATATTCTACTTTGAATTCACCAGTAAAACTTGTTGGCTTTACCTTCAAAATATATCCTTATTATTTCTCACCATCTCCACTGCTACCACTCTGGTCCAAATCTCTTGCTGGATATTATATGTCTTTCTAACTAGTCTCCCTGCTTTTTTCCTTTTCTCTCCTATATGCCATGCCATATTGAAGCCAGAGTAAACATTTAAAAATTTAAGACACGTTATGTTTCATGTTATGTTTCCCTTTCTCAAAACTATTTAGAATAAAATGGTCTTGTTTCTGTTATCTCCCCAACCTCATCTCCTTTTACTTTGCTCCTTTCCTTCTAAACTTCAGCCACAAACATGACAAGCATACACCCTACCTCAGGGTTTTTCTGTCTCTGTTGTTCCTTCTGCTTGTAACTCAATTCCCCTCACATGGCTGGCACCACCCTTAGTACCTTCAGATTTCCACTCTAATTTTGCCTCATCAGTGAGGCCTGATTACCCTATATAAAACAGAAGACTCTATCACTCAGGTCTGGAAAGGAAAACCAAATCATCTAGGTATTTCATATGAAGAGGAGTGGAAGAAAAAAGGATTTAATACAGGGAATTGGTTACAAATGTGTTGAGAGGGTTGGAGAAACAAAAGGAGAAAAGTGTGTCTCCAATGATCAGGAAGTCACCCTGTCCCTAGGGCTGCTGGGGGAAAGTGATGTTACTGAGGATTGAGGAGCTTATACTGCTAACTTCTTTCCAACTTCTAATATTGTGTTAATGCATTCCAATGACAAAACCTAACAGGACCACAGCTGGAAACAGAGCCCAGGAAATTGGGTTTTCAGCCTTCCAGTCTTATTGTATAGGGGAGAGTATGAAAGGGCTGATGTAGGGTAGGCTTCAACAGGTAATATCTGGCATATACTTCTTCTACTACGAGTCTTTATCATCTTATCCTTTATTTTTCTTCATACCACTTACCACTATTTGTTCATTGACTATCTCCCTTACCCTGCCTCCATCGGAATATAAATTCTGTAAGAATAAGGAATTTGTTTTTCTGGTTTGCTGCTATATCCTGAGCAGTCAGAACAGTGCCTGGCATCAGTATGGTAGCATACTAAATGGGGAGGGGTGGTGGAAATGGTTTGGCCAGTGCAGCATATTTTATCACTGACTTTGCTTAGAATTGCCAGCGCATGGTAATGATAAAAAGCAGAATAGCTTGTAGTCAGTTTTATTATTATTTTCTAATTTTCTACAGCCAATGAATCCTATTATGTGAGGGTAAGGAGTTAACAAAACCCTTTTCCATCTCTAAGGACAAATCTGAGCGTGGGTTAACTTTCTAGTTCTGTTTCCCTAGAAATTTGATAAAGATGAAATGTCAGCTTGTTACTAGGCAGCATTTCTTATGGCAAAAATAATCTGTGATTGGTAACTTGCAAATGGACTAGAAGGAACTATAAAGGAACTATAAATACCTAGTGGGAAGTGACAGCTTTGGGCTTCTGTGAATATGGTGACACTTGTATCTGGACATTTCCCTCATAGGGACCCTGGAAGCTGTCTAAGATTGTTATAAGAAACATTGATTCTTATGTAGGATATGCTTCTAAGTTGGTGGCTCCTATACTCTCCCAGTATAATTCTTGTTCCCTTACACCTAAATGTCACTTGAAGAAAAAAGAGAATAGCTCTTGGATGGCTGTGTAGATGACTAAGAGGACTAGTTCCACTGAAGATGAAAGTCTGATGCAGCCCTGCTGGACACTGAGTTTCCTGTTCAAATCCTTTTAAATAAACTGGTTCATGATAAAGTGTATTCACATCTTATAAGTCTGATTTTAGTTAACATAATCCCTGATGGGCATTCCAACATGTAATAGATGCTTAATAAATATTTATTGAACAAATACACAAGGTTGGAAATGTATGCCACAGTTATGTAATTACTGGATGGTATTACCTGAATGTTAACATACACAGTTTGTTGAAACAAACCAATGTCTACATCGACTGTTCTGTATTAGTTTTAGTTCACAACTGTACCTCCCCAATTTTGATATAATTCCCTCATCCCAAATAAACACATGTAGTCACAAAATACTGGGCAGGTTTTAAAGACAGTATACACAGACATCTTGTATGGCATTCTTTGGGTTGCCCCAGGCCACTGTTCTGCTTACTATCATACCACACTGGATTCAAAAGTGGACATATGTGAAGCTACTCATATCAGGGGAAATCAGTTAGCACTTAAGGGAAGCTTGAGCTGTGACTGACTAAATTATAGACTTGCCACATTAACAGACAAGTGTAATTTCTTTTGGCCTCTCTGAAAATAAATAATTTTTTCCTATTATTTTCTGTCTATCTAAGATCTCAAGCCTTCAAAAGAGATACTATATTTTATTCATTTCTTTTATCCCCATTTTCCAGTATAATGCCTGGCATAGAGGTACCCAACAAACATTTGTTGAGCTAAACTATACAATCACAGAGGGTCATAATAACAGCTAACCTTGGATGGAAATAGGGAAGGAATGCCGAGCTATATGGAACCAGAGATTATGGATTTAGAAACATTATTTTAGAATGTGGATTTAGAGATTTAGAAACATTATTCCCTTGGAAAGCTATGATAAATACAGTAAGCCACAGAAAATAGCATCTATCAAAGCCCCTCCAAGGATAATCAAGCCTATGGAGGCAGGAAACTAGGACTACAAATTCTTCCTTAGATTCCATGATGTAAGTATCATCTCTAGTCTTACCCCATCACTTTTTTTTCACTAGCAAATAGTTTTAATACAGAATGTATGATAGCTTTAAAAAGGATAGGTGAGACTATAGTCCAGCCCTACAAAAACATCAGGACGAATACAAGAAATATAGCTTAAACAAAATTGCCTAATAACTAGTTATTTATGAATTTGCTCATTCTCTTTAGCTTTCCCAACCCCCATGAACTCACTTAGATGCACAAAGCATATAAATATATCACAAATAAGAATAGTTCATTAAGTCAACCAGTTTATTAGAATTTCTTTCTGATGCTAAACAGTGTCAGTTGGCCCTAGGGATATTAAAATCTTCACTATGTAGATCAATTGAAAAGAATGTTTTGGGTCAATCAATAGTTTTAGGGAATGACCAGTACACCTATACTGGGTATAGAATCCTGACTCATCTCTCCATTAGCGAAACAAATACTCTATTCTTTTCTTTTGCCCTTTCTAAAAGAACTATAAGGGTTATGGAAAGACCTTTGAAAATGTTCATTTCCAAGACTTTAAGAAGTTAAAAATAATGATAACAAATAAATGGCTTATTTTCAGAATAAAATTAGAGATTAAAAGAGAAAAAAAAAGAAATCCTGTTAATCTTTTAAAAAATAGTAAGGTCTAAAGGTCTAAAAAAATCTCAATAGTTTCTGATTCTGTTCTTAGGCTTTGAATTACAAGCAGATCCATTTTTCAATATTCCCAGTTTGATTAGAACCTCTGACTTTTTGTATAACCTAAGCAAAACATGACACAGGAAATTTTTCAAAAGTTTTCAGAGAAAGATTGACTAAATCCCCATCCTAAATCAGGGCTGAAATGACATTTGACATATTGAGAAGCATGCCACTAGAGATGCTATCTTTGGAGAAAAAGAGAAAAGATTATCAAATTCCTCCTGGTGATTAAGGATCACATGGAACTTCCAGGAAGATGAAGGGCTAACCACTGTATCCCAATTCATTGATTTATTTCCCACACAGAGATGGCCCATCATCTCAGCAGGGTAGGTAGAATTCATTGTCCTAATAGACTGAGCACTAAATTTGCATAGTTGAACATCTATAGCTAGCAGTCAGCATTCTTTGTTTATATGTACTGAGTGTGTGCAAAGGTCATTGGTTGTAATAGTTTATTCTAAACAATGGAAGGGAACATTTCTCAATATGTAATTTCTAGTCTTCCTCCTTCTTACCTTCTGTACTTGAACTATCCTGAGGCCAATTTATTATTTCCTTGTTACAGGTATGTGGTAAAATCTATAATCCACAATGTTCTATTTACAACACAGAAGTCAAAAAGACTTTTACCTGAAAGTCCAATTACCTCCCCCTTCCAACCTTCCCCCCCCACGCTTTTTTTTTTTTTTACCTCATTCCCTGTCGACATGACTGCAACAACTGGAAACTTATTAACTTCAACCTCTGTGACACCTACAGTTGCCAGAAGACCAATCTCTGAGGGGCCCATATGGGTTCCTTTGGCCAAAACGCATTCCCCTCTTTTAATGTCATGGCCGATGGGTCTGAAAGTCAAAGCAGAACCATAAACAGAGTGATTAAGAATAATATTTTCTCAACTGACTTTAGTGTCAAAGAAGGAGGACATTCAAGAAGAGAAAAAAGTCAAGAGATGAGGCAGGAACAGAATAATAAAATAAAAAGCTTCTAAAAACTCTATGCTTTTTTAATAAAAAAATTTAAATCACACAATGGAAGAGAGAAATAGGATTTCCATTATTGCTGAGGAATATGTTATTTCACATTTGAAGATTTTATTTATTTATTTGACAGAGAGAGACACAGCGAGAGAGGGAACACAAGCAGGGGGAGTGGGAGAGGGAGAAGCAGGCTTCCTGCTGAGCAGGGAGCCTGATGTGGGGCTCGAACCCAGGACCCTGGGATCATGACCTGAGCCGAAGGCAGACGCTTAACGACTTAGCCACCCAGGCGCCCCTGTTATTTCACATTTGAAAACTATTTTACAAATTGCTTTGTACTACATTACAGTCAAAAAATACCAACCACAAACTTTCTTTGATATAAGGGAAGAATTTATATGAAAATATCTAGTGGCATTAATGATAAGAGGTCCATAGCATGTTAGCTTTGAGGTGAGGAGAATAACACTGATGAGGTTACAGTCACAGGGGTAATTTCTATTTGGACAACTTAGGCTGGCCCAGGTCTATGGCCACAGAAGTCCACTCAGCTTGGCTTCTTGCCATAGGGATGTGAGAATTGTAGCTTTGTTATAAGCACATTTGAGCAAATTAGTATTGATGGGATCAGGGCAAACGTATTCCAATGTAAGAAAAATAATTTATATATGCACTCCTTATGTTAAGACACTAGTCTCATTTTTGTATATAAAGAATAGCAGATTATTCTATTCTTATTGGTAGTCAGGGGAGGAGAGGCTATCAGCTAATTGCATAAAAACTCAGCTCTGGGATTATCTGTGTTGATTCCAAATTCTGGAGTACCTAGGGGTGGAGGTGGATAATTTTGGATTATCTAGAAGTAGGATTAACTGTGGATGACTTTACTTCTTTCTCATGTTGCTTTTGACTATTTCATTTGCCTTTATTATGTTTATGAAAAAGTAGGCAGAGTAGACATGAGCTGTAGAATTAAGAAAATTCATTTTGCTACTTGTTAAAAGTCCTGAACACTAATGGCTAAATGCCTGAGCTGTGGATTTACAATAGCCATGCTCTCTTGAATTTATGATCATGTAGAAACAAAAGTTGGCTATACATTCTATACATTATGAATTTACCTGATATCTTGGCCTGGTCGAGCTTGCACCAGAATTCGCACTTCAAGTTCCTCAGTGCCCTATAATAAAAGCAAGTCATGTAATTTCAAACAGAATAATCTAACAGAATTTTGATCAATACAATTTAGCTACTCAGATGCTTTTATAATCAGATAGGTCCCAGAATATATACAAATATAGAGAAACACAACCATTTGCTACACATTTTCAACATGATAAATTTCTATCACAGGTTTCTGAAAAACTAGGTTTGATGCCAATAAATTTATTTGTAAATAAATAAAAATTTTCTTCATAATTTTCATGCTTTTAAAAAATGTACCACTTCAAATACTGGATCTTATATTGTAAGTAGCATTCTCAAGGGAAAATAAAAGATATATCTATATGGCTACCCTAATAGATACATCGAATGTGGATGGAGATAACCTGTCTCTTCTGTTCCCAGGAATCATGCCAAGTTTCCCAAATATCTGCAGAAATTTCAGTGAAGGACTTACAGTTTTCCTGGTAGTAGGTTTCTGTAAATTAATGGTGATCATTAATTTTACATTTATGGGCTGTGACACTGGAACTGTGTCTTGTCATCTGTCAGAGTCTGTGGATGCATGTGTTCTGGATTTCAATGCTTTGCTGGCTTCCCTGATGCCAATAAATCTGTTGGACAGTTTTAACAGCAGGCAGTGTGATCTGTATGCCAAGAGTTGAATTTTATAAGCCTTACATGTGGGAAAGTGATTGAAAAGACAATCCCAGATCAAGAGAAGTGGCTGTCTCTCAGCATGCCCAAATTTTACTATTTAGGCAGCCCAGAAGAATGTTATTTATTTTAGCTCTAGCTTTTAAGACATAAAATATCTTAAACTGCTTCAAAAAACAAGTTAAGATAGCCAGTCATTAAAATATCAGTTGAAACTATTCTTTTATTAGTGGCTGACCCTCTGGTTCCAGTAACTGCCACTAGTTTCAGTAAGATGAAGGCCCGTTTAGACCAAGACAATTCCCAGGAGCCTTTAGTGTAGACTAGAGAGGGGGCACTGGCATAAATTCAAGTTTTCCAGGCTGTCCTTTGATGGCAAAGATTTTTCTGAATTATAGAAAATCAGAGTTGAAGGGTTATTTGGTTCAAATGCTTGGCTTAATGTAATATTCAAGAACTTGCCCAAGCATTCTTTGTTAAATTCTCCTTCACATTTTATCAGAAACTAGTCTTGATGAACAAATTTCTCAGCTATAAGGTATGTCAACAGTTAATATCTCTGCTGTTCTATTTGAGGTAGTTTCCTTCCTTGTTTGCATGTGAAATTTTGTGGATCAAATGTGGTTCAAATTCTGTTAAAATTACAGTAATGATCATAAAAACAGCTCCTATAACAAAAGATTTTCAAATATAAGGCAATTCCTATATACTGGAGACCCATACACTACAATGTAAGATCCGAACATTACCAAAACAAACGAACAAACAAACAAAAGAGAAAACAAAAACAAAAAAACCCAACCCAACCGGATTAATCTTATAAACATTGCAGAAAATGGGCATGGTTTGTAATACTGCTATAGGAACAGAGCAGTAAGACCTGGTGATGACGTACATCATCAGACTCCCTGATTAGTTCGGTATCTTCTACTTGTACTACTGCATCAGCACCGCAGGGGATTGGAGCACCTGTTGTAACCCGCATGACTTGTCCTGGCATTACTGTCTGAGTCGGCTGAAAATACAAACATGTAAGAAAGAATTGATTTACTTTGCTGTTGCAAAGGAAAAGTCTGCAGGAGATGTATTATTTTTAGAAACAAACCATAAAAGGAAAATCTTAGACTCTTATTCACATTGGTCCAATGTACTAAAACTACCCACAAACAGGTGCATTTACACCAAAGAGGCTTTAACTTGATTTAAGGTAATGACCATTAGACAGATGTCTTTCTTGGTGCCCTGCTCTCCTTTTGAAGAACTGTCACTTACAATTGTCACTATTGTGTTTCACTCAAATAATGTGAATTTTCTTAATATCTATATGTAAAGTGATTTGAGTATCTTTAAGAAAAAAAATGCCATACAACGTGATTTTATGAAAGACAATTATGAAAAATTAACATGTTGTCATTTACTCAGGTTTTGACATTTAAGAATTGTAGTACTTTATTAACTAAACTTTTTGATTTAATAAAGGCAAGTAAAAAATCATTTTAAGTATTTCACTTGAAAATCTTTTAAAACATATTAGTTCATCTTTCAATAATAAAAGTCTAGAAATGTAATTAAGTAATTCAAAATGATTCCAGTGTCTGTAATGATTAAACACTATATCCAAGATTTTCATTATCTGAGCTGTCGTACAGATGGTACAGGAGACTGACCCCAGGACCTGACCTGCAAACTTCTCTCAGCATAGAGAAAAACATATTTCTGTAAGATCTATTTGATAGGTTTGATTTGGACACATAGGCCAATGATTTAGGTCACAGTTGGGAAAAGGAATGCTTCAAATTTCCCCTAAAAGAGAATTCTGAGATAATATTAATTTCCCGATAAAAAAGAGATCTTTCCAAAGATATCTGCTTAAGTATTTAAAATCTTAGGTCACAACAATGTGAATAGACTTAACATTACTGAACTGTACACTTAAAAATGGTTATGATGGTACATTTTATGTTATATATTTTCTACCACATTAACAATTTTTAGGGAATGGTTAAGGAAAAATACCCCTCTACTGGATGTACAAAGCAAAACAGGAAATTTATTAGAACAGCCTTAAAAATCTTTTTTCAATAATATTATTGCTGTAAACAATACCACCAATAGCTAAAATGATCAAACCCTTCAATTTATACTAGATACAGAGTTAAGTGCACTGTTAAAGTCTAGAATATAAGCCCTACAAAGACAGGGATTTGTCTTATTTTTTGTTTGCCTCTCCAGATCACATCTTCATTTTCTATCCTGTGCTATGGCCCAGAGGCTGACCTCTATGGACTGCTTCATCCAGGTTCCCATCACTCTGGCTGCTGATTAGGTTCAACCAATGGGAGTGGTCAACAAGAGATTAGAGGGTAAGACAAAAGGAAAAGTAGGGTTTTCATTCTGCTTGCTCTTTCCCTGCTGGGCTGCAGTTTGGTGATGGCTATATCATCTTTATTACTGAGGGTCACAACTCCTATTGGGTGGCCCTATCTCATAGCTATGAATCTCCTCAGGTCCAGGTACCACTCTTTCCCTTTGCCCCTTTAGACCTAGAGGTGGTTGGTAATGGAGTGTCACTGTTAGTACCCGGGTGCTTAACATTCCCTTGTTGGTTTCCCTTAATCTATTTCTTGGATATAGTCCCTTTAATCACTCCTTTTCCAGAAATATTTATTTCTTTCATACCAAAGCCTAGAACGTGTCTAGCACAAAGTTGGTGTCTAGAATGAATGAATGAACATGTATGATCTCATTAGGTGACAACTACATGAAGTATTCCATCCTTCTTGGCTTAAAACTCCAGTGTTCTCCCTGCTTTTCTCCCACAGCTATTGACAAAAGAGATTCTTGGGATCAGCTCTGGCATTGAGCTATGTATCTTATATTTCCTTATTCAGCTACTTGAATAAAAGACATTACAGGCTTTCGGAATGGTTACATTTTTATGTAATTTTCTACCAAGATGCTGCATAGGGTTTCATATGAAAAGTTTAGGGCCCAAAGCATTAAAATTAAAAAAGAAAATTCAACCTCAATATTACTCATTGTCCAGGACATCTCTTAATGTACTATAGATGGCCATTTTGCAGTGCAGTGATTTTTGATGAAAAGCATTAGTTTTGATATATGTATTTTTTAATAGAGGTACTAATACTGAAACTATCTTTAGAGCCTATGGAACAAAGATATTTAATATAGGTCTAAACAGGCCCTTCTTTTGCTGAAAGTGCCTTTTTGGCTAAGGCAGAAAGCGAATCCTAAAGTGAGTTTCAGGGCAGTTGCTTCTTAAGCTGAAGTGTCTTAGTCTGGAGCCCTGCCTCAATTTAGTCATGTTCAATGTACCATATTCTGTAAATTTACTTTAAGTTTTATTGTGGTTGTACCTGTAATTTTCTCTATTTGTTTTAAATCAACTCTTAAGAAGTGTTTTCGTGTGATTTTTGAACAAAAAATTTGACTCCTCTCTAAGATTAGTAAATCTGATATGTGAAGACTTCCTACCAGCTCACTTAGATGAGAGCCAATGTAAAAGATATTATTGGATATATATATATATATCCACTTAGAGTAAACATATAAACCTCAATTGAATGGAATCAGTTGAAAAACTCTAGGAATACATGAAGTACTTCCTTTAGATTGTTAAGAGTAACAATTCTTTAAGAGTAACTCATTCTTTTTTTATTGCTATACCTTATATGTTTTATATAAAGTAAAAATGGTTAAAATCTTGATTTTTCCTTAATGGAGGTGTTGGGTTTTTTTGAAATTTGCCCAATGACAGCACTTTATAATCATGTAATATTTTCTTTGACAGTGTCCAGTGCTAATCAATAGGACCAAACTATAAGTGATTTAAAGTCAAGTATTTTGGTACACCATAAAAGCATTTTGTAAATCACTATCTCAGTGTATGCAATGGCACCTAATTCTCAAGCATATGTACTTTCAATAAGTGAGCAATTTGGCTCTTTTAAGATCTCTGAGATTGCTATAAAGTCTGTATGATACCTTAGTTATAGATAAAGGACATCACAGATAATTTGAAGAGAAACCCCATTTTCTTGTATAGTTTTCATCTTTTTTTCCCATCGACCTTACAAGAAGTTAGCAACTTTTAAGTTTCATGACTTTTCTTGTGTTCCTAGTTCTCTAGTACAGTTGGAAGTCTTAACTAGTAAATAAGGTTTAAGAAGACCACAAGGCACTTATTAATCTGTTACCTATCTACCTATTTATACTAGGCTTTGACTACCACGAACTATTTGCAGTTTCTTAAACACTCCATGCAATTTTTTAAAACACCTCTGTGTCTTGATTTATACTGTTCTCTTGGCCTGGAATGTACTTTTCTCATTTCTGTTTTTGTAAAATCCTCTTAGGTCCAGCTCCAATGTTATTTTCTTAATCCTGGTAGGATGAAATGCTCAACCTCCCTATTATCCTGCATAGTACATGACTGATAGCATTAGTTTAACACTTAATATATTTAGTTGTCTGTCTCTTTAACTAGATGTAAACTCCTTAAGAGTAGAAATCATATCTTAATCTACTTTATATCCCTAGAACCCAACACAGTGCTTGGTACACATAGTAGGTATGTTTGATAAGTGTTATTAGATAGACTCAACTGAAGACCAGAGACCTAGAATAATTGGTACTTTGTGGCCTTGTTATACAAATGGATGCTTTAGATAACCAACACTGATTGAAATACATATCAAGAAGTCAAGTAAATTATGAGGTCATAATACAAGTCATTTATAAAAAAGGGACCCAGGCCTAGCTGTTCTTTTTGTCAGGAAAACAGTCATGAGGATTTAAATCAGCCTGTGTACAGCACCTAATCACTATAGTGCCAGGCTTGGCTTCAGAGATCTATCCACAGTTCTCTTCAATGCTTGGATGTAGGGATGAGGTAGCCTCATCCTGGGGTCACCAACATGGGCACCATACTTCTCCTATATATGTCCTTAACTTTTCCATATTTTCAGTACATATGGGAGTACATACTAAGCCAAGGAAGAAAAGGCATGGGACATAGCTTTTGCCCAAACCTCCACATTCATTCATTCATATCCTCCTTTATTTTTTTATAATGCTTATGAATGTTGGGTAGTAGCAGAGGAAAAAAGTATCTTGGTCTTCTTCTGGTTCTATTTAATAAGGCAAGAGCTCTTTTAACCAACCTTCAAAATTCACTGGATTAACATATGCTCTCTATTTCCTCTTAAACATAAAGATGCTTACAGCACTGTTTAAGTTTGAGGCTGTTAGACTCTTGTATAATTGTAAAGTACTGCTTTACAGTTCAATTGAGTTTCTTCCCAAACTTGTTTGTGCCAGTTTGTGGCAGCAGTTGCTACTGAATTATGTAATTTAAATAAATATTACATAAATTAATGACATATGAGTGTGAAAAAAATTTTTTTTCCTAGAAAAATTAAGTTAAACCTTTGGAAAAACTCAATTAAAACATTTTGCCAAAAACAACTGTCAAATTAAGTGTGGGTAAAGTAGCTGTAAAAATTGTAAAAACACAATAAAAATCTAGAAGGATTCTATACTTAGATACTTTGCAAATGTCCTTAATTTTTTTACCACTTTAAAGACCAAAACTGGAAATCATGTAAGTGCTTTTGGGTGTGATTTATGTAAGAAAGGCCAGATAGAAATTGAAATAGTAGATACTTGTTAAAATAAAAGTATTAGCTCTCCATCAAATTATTGACAAATAAATGTTCATTTAAGTTAAACTTACATTTATCTTAAAAATATAAAATAATTTTCCACTTGTTTCCAATTAAATGGCCAATTACTAGTCTCAAAAGCATTAAATAAGAGGACTTCTATGGCCCATTAGTGCTTCATTTCTTAATAGAAATATATATATACCTGTTCACTGGCTAGCCCTAGTGAGCAAAGCTAATCTAAGTGATTAGCTTGAGTGGTTAAATAATTGGCTTCTTCTAATTTTTCCTGTTTGTAACACAGGTTGGAGAAAAGTCTGAGAAGATCACCTAGAAACTATAGATCTATTCAGAACATTAATGTTTATATAGGAAGAAAGAATTATCTAATAATAGGGCTGGAAAATGTTTGTGGGGTATGTCTGTGAAACATACCAAAAATACCATGCTGTATATTAAAAGATGCAGATTTCTTTCGGTTAAAAAATAATTATTTTGGCTCTTTCTCATGGGAACCTCCTTTAATCTCTTTGATAACCTGTCTAATTCATCTCTAGTATTTCCATTACAATGATGGTAGAAGGTTAGAATTCAATGCTAAAAGTCCATGAAACTGAAATCTTCAGGGCCTTTCAGGCCTATGAATCTCACCTGCTCACCAGCTTGGGATTCCCCAATGATGAAACGATCTCCTGGACCATCAGCAGCTGTGAGGTGAACAGAACCAAGAACAAACATCAAAATGGACCTATAGCAAGGAATAAGGATCTAGTGTTGGAATTTAAAAATTTGACTCAAATGATCAGATAAAGCTTCAGGAAAATGAATACTTTTCTGATCTCCTAGACCAGATAATGGCGTTATTACTACTGGTTTGATCTTTGTATCCACCATTCAGAAGTACCAGTAGAAATGATTCTAATCATGCTGTTTCTTGGGTGTCACTGGAGATGGTCTTCCTGTTGCTCCATAATTTGATACTTGTACTTTTAATTTTTTTCAAAGATTAATTTATTTAAATGAGAGAGAGAAAGAGCGAGAGAGAGCATGTGAGAGTGGGGGGAGTGGCAGAGGAAGAGAATCTTCAAGCGCACTCCCTGCTGAGAGGCTGATGTGGGCTGATCCTACCACCCATGAGATCATGACTCATGAGATCACGACCTGAGCTGAAAACAAGGGTCAGAAGCTCAGATGACTGAGCCACCCAGGAACCCCAAATACTTGTATTTTTTTTTAAAAGATTTTATTTATTTATTTGAGACAGAGAGAATGAGAAAGAGAGAGCACATGAGAGGGGGGAGGGTCAGAGGCAGAAGCAGGCTCCTTGCCGAGCAGGGAGCCCGATGTGGGATTTGATCCAGGGACTCCAGGATCATGACCTGAGCCGAAGGCAGTCGCTTAACCAACTGAGCCACCCAGGCGCCCAATACTTGTATTTTTTAAATAGAACTATTTCTTCTAGCCTGTACTTCAAATAAATACCCCCCTTTCTATGGGTATATATTTGTGATGTATGTATACACTATCGTGGATATAACTGTCTATACTGATATATTACTATTTATATTCATATTTTTCCACTTTCTACAAATTTCAAGCTATTTCTTACTATTTTCTTATTTATCACCCAGTCTGATTTTCATAATAACTGTCGAGTAGAAAGAACATATCTTCTTTTTTACATTTGACGTTTGAAGGAAATGAGTCACAGAATGAAGGAACTTAGGTTGACAAGTTCTTGTTAGTAGTAGACCTAGGACTAAAACACAGTCCCTTAATTCCCAATACAGCATTTTTTAAAAAAAATAATTGGCCAAAATGCTATTTCTAAATCATAATATATAGGCAGCTGTGCATTACAATTTCCATTGACTATTTATTTTTAAATCAGAAGAAACACTTTCAGAATTGAGATGGAAAAACTTATCCATTTTTTTTCTATATACAGTATATAGAATTACCCCATCCCCCCACCCACCTCCCCTCCAGCAACCCTCAGTTTGTTCCCTGTAGTTAAGAGTCTGTCATGGCTTGTCTCCCTCTGATTTCTTTCCATTCTGTTTTCCCTCCCTTCCCCTATGATCCTCTGCACTGTTTCTTATACTCCACATATGAGTGAAACCATATAACTGTCTTTCTCTGACTGACTTATTTTGCTTGACATAATACCCCCCACTTCCACGTCAATGTAAATGGTAAGTATTCATCCTTTTTGATGGCTGAGTAATATTCCAATGTGTGTGTATATATATACACAGACACATTTCCTTTATCCATTCACCTGTCGATGGACATCTCAGCTCTTTCCAGAGTTTGGCTATTGTGGACATTGCTGCTCTAAGTGTTGAGGCGCAGGTGCCCCTTCGGATCACTACATTTGTTTTTTTTTTTTAAGATTTTATTTATCTGAGAGAGAGAGAATGAGAGAGAGCACATGAGAGGGGGGAGGGTCAGAGGGAGAAGCAGACTCCCCACCGAGCAGGGAGCCTGATGCGGGACTCGATCCAGGGACTCCAGGATCATGACTTGAGCCAAAGGCAGTCGCTTAACCAACTGAGCCACCCAGGCGCCCTCGGATCACTACATTTGTATCTTTGGGGTAAATACCTAGTAGTGCAATTGTTGGGTCATAGGGTAGCTCTATTTTTAACTTTTTCAGGAACCTCCATACTGTTTTCCAGAGTGGCTATACCAGTTTGTATTCCCACCAACAGTGCAAGAGGGTTTCCCTTTTGCCACATCCTCACCAACATCTGTTGTTTCCTGACTTGTTAATTTTAGCCATTCTGACTGGTGTGAGGTGGTATCTCATTGTGGTTTTGATTTGCATTTCCCTGATACCGAGTGATGTTGAGCATTTTTTCATGTGTCTGTTGGCCATTTGTTTGTCTTCTTTGGAGAAATGTCTGTTCATGTTTTCTGCCCATTTCTTGACTGGATTTTTTGGTTTTTGGGTGTTGAGTTTGATAAGTTCTTTATAGATCTTGGATACTAGCCCTTTATCTGATAAGTCATTTGCAAATATCTTCTCCCATTCCGTAGGTTGTCTTTTAGTTTTGTCGACTGTTTCTTTTGCTGTGCAAAAACTTTTTATCCTGATGAAGTCCCAATAGTTCATTTTTGCTTATGTTTCCCTTGCCTCAGCAAATTATTAAGCCTTTCTCTAAACTTCAGTTTTCTTGTTGATAAAAATTGGGATAATACTTTAAAAATAATATCTTTTAAAGCTTTTTAATTCTTTCATTCATTCACTAAATTTCTATACAGTGTTCTATGTCTTAAGTGTCATATCAGATGCTGGGACAGAATGGAGTAAAACCAGCACACATGGTTTCTATTCTAATGCAGCTGTGATGTTTTTCAAAATCTGGACCAAATATGGAGGTGGACTGTAAAGTAAACTTGTAAACAATTTTTAAAATGAGAATGAATAGAAATATATTTCATCACACATGGTAAGGATGAATATTGTTTCATGAAACTTATTTTTATTTATATGTGTACATAGGTACATTTATATATTGTATATGTTATATATTTATATTTTAAGATTTTATTTATTTGACAGAGAGAGACACAGCGAGACAGGGAACACAAGCAGGGGCAGTGGGAGAGGGAGAAGCAGGCTTCCCGCAGAGCAGGGAGCCTGATGTGGGGCTCGATCCCAGAACCCTGGGATCATGACCTGAGCCAAAGGCAGATGCCTAAAGGCTGAGCTACCCAGGCGCCCCATGTTATATATGTTATATGTGTGTGTATAATGTATTTAATGTGTGTCTTCTTATGGGTGGGGTTAAAGCCATTGATGTAGTGGAGGAGATGGATATTAATCAAATAATCACACTAATGAATATATAAATGCAAATTATGAAAACCATTCTAAAGGAAAGGAATATAATTTTATGAGATCATACAATGAAAGTGCCTGAAGTATACTGGAGGGTCAGGGAAAGCCACCTTGATAAAACGATTTCTGGTTTGAATATGAAGGATGAATAAAAGGTAAGTAGGCAAAAGGGGTATGTGAGTGTGTGAGAGAGAGAGAGAAAAGAAGAGGGGGAGGGAAGGAAGGAAGGAGGGAGGGAGAAGGAGAAATATGAAGTGGAAATGCTCCATCTAAAGATCTTCACCTATGTGCAAAGGCCTCTGGTTCATATCTTCCTTATATGTTATGCCCTAGCCACTCTCAATTTCTAGAACTGTAGCTCCCTGAGAATACCAAGATGACTCATATTTCAGCTCCATAATATATGTTACTTTCATTGCTCGGAGTGTCCTTTTTTTTAATCTGTGCCTTCTGATTAAAGACTTCTTAGCTTTTAAGACTCAGCTCAAGTGTCACCTTTTCTATGAAGTCATACCTGACTCCTCTTCCTTCAAGAGTCAGCTACTTTCTCTTTTGTTTCCCCAGCGTATTCCCTAAATAACCCTAATTATGGCTTTTTAATTATTTGCAATTATTTGCTTATTTGTCTCAGGGGAATCCGTAGCACTTTCTGCATAATAGGTATTCAATAAAATTTCAATATGTGAAGTATTAAAAATGTTCAATAAATGAATATGGCTTCTAAGAATCTATTTAGAAGGATGCATGCATACATGAACAAATAAATAATATTTCTCAACACAAAATGCTACATTTTGAATGCCTTCCATTTCCTGCTGGTTTATGTATATAGTTTTCAAATGTGAGTCAACATTGACTGTCTTTAGAATGTTTAGAAAGACTGCTCTGGTTAATTTTATATAATAATTCGGATATAGAATAGTGCCTAGCTTATCACTGATTTTCAATAAATATTTGTTAAAAGAATAAAGAAATGAATTTGGCATTTCCATAATACTTAGGTGGGGAGTTTGTAAACTGATTTGTACATATTAGTATTGTGTTTTCTAAGTTTTCTTGAATAATTTCAAAAATGTGTATGCTTTATTTCTTCAGCTAGATTACGAGCTCCTTAGATACAAGGATCACTTCCTTTATTTTTTTTAAAGATTTTATTTATTTATTCATGAGAGACGTGGGGGCGGGGGGAGAGAGAGAGAGAGGCAGAGGGAGAAGCAGGCTCCCCGAGGAGAAGGGAGCCTGATACAGGACTCAATCCCAGGACCCTGGGATCACGACCTGAGCCGAAGGCAGACGCTTAACCGACTGAGCCACCCAGGTGCCCCATTTATTTCTTTTTTGAAACCCTCTGCTCTTCAACCTTCTTCCTGTCTCCTGCTTCCGACACATGCAAATACACCTACACTCAAAATGCCTTATATCAATATTGTGCACAAATGCTCCAAATAAATGTCACTGAATAATGAGTGGCTGGAGATCATTTGGGGCAAGTCTGCTATAGAGTGTCAAGAAGGCCAACATCTGAAAGAGTCCTTAAATGAGTCTAAGGAGGAAAGGTACACTGACTGGAGAGAGAATATGTGCTCACTTACACTATGTTCTTCACCTTGCCCTGAAAATTTCTATCTGGGAAACATGTCTCTATATTGCTAGCTAAAGAAGGCTCAGTCAAACCACATTATAGAAGGCTCTTGGTAGCAAGAGAGAAGTTGTTTTTATTATTTCCTTTATAACAGTACTTCTCAACCCTCAATGTGCATACAAATCACCTGGAGATCTTGTTAAAACACAGATTCTGATCCACTAGGTCGGGATAAGGCTTGAGGTTCTACATTTCGAACAAGCTGATGTTGATGGTGC